TAATAAAAAAAAAAAAAAAATTTCTTAAAAAAAAAATAAATGAAATGAAAATTTAAAAAAATAAAAAAAACATATGAAAGAAAAATACATTTCACCATAAAAATTTATTTTATGAATTGTGGAAACTGACAATTTTCTCAGCAGATATAATGCCCGAACAATTTTCTCAAGAAACTCTGACCGAAATTTTCAAATATCTTAATGTTGACGAACATGGATCGGATGATTTATTTAACTGCCTTCTAATGAATCGATATTGGTGTAAAGCCGCCATTCCTGTCCTTTGGTCGGCCCCCTTTAAATACGCCGATGTGTTACCACTCGATGGAGTTATTGATGCATATGTAGCTTGTCTGACTAAAAAAGAACGCGAAGAATTGTTAGGAAAAGGGACCATCATTGATCACCCAATACCGAAAAGAGTTGCATTCGATTACATCAATTATCTTAGAGACTTTAATTACTTTGGTCTTATGGCATCATTATTTCATTGGGGTTGTAGCAGTACTGGAGTTTACAAGATTAACAATTTATATCGTAACATGTTACCGGCTTTTCTTCGGATTTTTGCGAGGCGCAGGATTAGACTAAAATCCTTGGAGCTCGTTAATCGCGATGGACTTGGGGTTTGGGAAAATGAATTCATGCACCTTGTGAGACCAGAAAATCGTCGATTGATTGAATCTGTTCAAAAACTTTATCTAGACATGGAAATTGTAGATGGAAATTTTTTTACTAGACTCAGCGATGTTTGTCGAAACTTGGTAGATATATATATGTTCATTTTTACACATCAATTATTCTTTGACGCGTTGAACGAACAATACTAAGAATGATGAAAAAAATTCAACAACATAGAAATCTCTGCACATAATTATACATTCAAAATGTAGCGTGAAAGGTAATTTACTGTGTGAGAGAAACGCAGAATGTTATGGGGAAATAATACGACAGCAAGTATCATTGAAATCAATAGTCATGCAAGATTTCAAAAACTACTTTAGTCATATTCTTCCTGCACTGGTTACTCAAGCATATTCATTACATAGAGTTGAATTCATCAAAGCGGATTTTACAAAGTGCGAATCTTTTGATGGACTATTATTTTGCGAAAATTTAGAGATGTTAAAGTTCACAGAATGTTGTAATATTGACAAAAATTTACTTGAGCCTTTGTTTAAAGTAAAATTTAAAAAGCACGCGGTGATGGAAATGGAAAACATGGATTATAATGTGGATGCTTTAAAAAAGTTGAAGGTGAGGGAACTTGATATTCCTTGTATTATTTCCATACTTTATTATTTAATTAAATGGATTTTTACTTCGTCTCTTTTTATATTCAATTTTAGAAAAAGTCTTAATGTAATGACAATAATATTCTAACTAATCTATTTTTGATTGATACCTTTTTGTAATGATTATCTAGATGTAAAAAAAAAAAAAAGGTTACAAATATATTTCAATTAATCTAATAAAGATGCATTTGAATCGGTCATTTAGTTATGTCAAAAGTATGGATATATTAGCGTCAATCTTTTGTATTAAGAGAAAAAACGAAGATCATTAAAGAACTCGATTCGATCAATTTTTGCATATGACCAATCTTGATGGTTCAACATCAATCAAAATCGAAGGCAATTTCGCAAAACAGACAGAATTGTAGAGAGTTGTAAATATTTATTTAAATATAATCTACAAACATAGTTTTTCATACAATTATTCCCATCATTTTTTGTTTATTTTCTACTAATTAACAAGTCCCGTATCTATACCAGCATATCTAACTGTTACACATATTAATAAACCATTTGATTTGTTTTTTTTTTCCGTAATCATTAATAAACCATTTGATCTAAAGTCGACAAATTGAATTAATTGTATATAATAAAATATAAGTTGGATATTTTATTTTTATATGGAGGTCTTTGTATTAAACCATCAATATTTTGCGTTCAATAGCGGCTTTAAGTTTATATTCTCTGTATTTACAGTACGTATAATATTTTTAATATGTGTTAATAGAAAATGTTTTTTAATGCGTTTTAATAAGTGATATATATCCAAGATCACGTAAACATATATCAATTCATATATACAGTATAATATAACATGCAGTCTAAGTAAATTATTAACCTATATAATCTGAAATCCAAGATCAAATGAAATTCCTATACCGTATTTGTGATTTAATACAAATTCAATTTTTTATATACAAAAATAAATTGATAATATAATCGAAATCGATAACTTATTTTAAATAAATTATTTTTAAAAAATATTTTTTGATCAACATGAAAAATTTGAAAAAATTTAATGCCTTTATTTATTTCATATAAAAACAATGATTGAAAAAAAAAATTATATGTTTTTGTATGTTTAAAAATATCAAGTAAAATTATTTGGTTTCAAATTTTTGTTTATTTGATTCATTATTTATAAATTATTATTGTATATTATAAATCAAATATATTTTTTATTTTAGTATGATATAATTTTCAAATAAATATTTTAATGAAATATTTTAATTTTATAATAATAATTATTATTAAAATATACAGTATATATTGTATATAATAATTATTATAAAAATAAAAAAATATAAAATTTTTAATTCTTTTTCAAAAATAAATATCAATATTAAGACTCTTACATATTTATATAATTGAATTATTTCTATTTCAACAATTTTCTATTTTTTATTATACAGTATACAATACATATTTCAATGATTTTTTATTTTTTATTATACAGTAGATACCAAATAAGAATTTTATTTTTGGCATCATGTTTTTTATTTTTAAATATATAAATCATTTAAACAACAAATAAACGGTAGACATATTTTCGAATTGTTTATGTTAATACCTTATTATATCAATATGCAATAAATAAATAAATATATTGTTACTGTATCTCAAATGATTTTTTTAAAAAAACGTTTTATTAAAAATCAAAAAAAAAAAATACGTAATCATAATTATATTAGAAATTAATTATTTGATAATACATATGTTAATTAATCTATTAATAAAATTTCGTATAATGAAATTTCTAAGGTGATTTTTTTTTTTTTTTTATAACAATGAAATCTTGTGTACACAACTATAACGCATACGTGCATTATCCAGTCAAAAACTTGGGTGATTGTGTAATATAGTTAGCTTATTTGTTCTTACGCATTTTATCATCGAATCGGTTTCATTAATACCATATCTATTGGTTTTTTTCACAATGCAATCACTTGTGAGTTTCACGCATAGGGAATTTCAATCTATCGTCTCATGTTGAATTCCTAAGTGTAAAACAAAGATATTTCTAAATCAAGTTTTATGAAGATTCCATTTCTAGACGCCTTATGCAAGCCCACACACAAAAACTCTCACGGCTGATGCATTTCAAATACTGAGTAGATCGTATTTCTTAACACCATTGCATCTTTGATTCCTTAACCTGAAGTCTTCCCCTAAGCCATTCTCGACTTTAATCCCGTATCCTCATTTCGGGGAACCGGAAAAACTCTGAATTGGTTCAGCAAGGACTATTTCATTTTTGTAAAAATCATAAGGAGGAACAATTCCCATAATTTAGTTAAATTTGTCAAAAAAAAACGAAAGAAAATGGTATAATGGACGATTAGTCATTTTTTTTAGAATCTGTAAATAGAAAGTTAATAAAAGAAAATCAAATTATCATAATTATCTCCTAATTGTTAACTAAAATTACTTAAGCACAATACCATAATTCTAAAAACCCTTTATTTATGCTTGGGCGCCAAAAAATTCTCAACTAGATATGTTCAATCGGAAACCTGATTACGAAGGCGACGTGACGTTACCAAAGTTCTATTCGTTTGGCTATCACTGCGTTTCATCTACTCAACCATCTTCGTCTTCGCGTGAAGTTTTTTCATCGTTCTCTCAAAATCCACATAAAGGTTATATAGATATCACGAGCACATGTTCTTTGATATCATTTGATCTCGTTAAATCACATGGACTCGAGAGTTTCGTGAAAAGTTGGGATCAAAAGAATCTCACTCTGAAAGAATCGCCTCGGGTCAGGAAAAGACCTGTGTTATCATTAAAAACTAGGTTTCATTCCGGAAGGCAACCGCCTTTTGTTAATGCAAGGTCTGCCACTTCAAAACGAAACGAAGCGGCAAAGACTAGAAGGAAGAGCGAACAGTATTGGATAAATATTGAAAATGGTAGTGTCTTCTATAAGAACGATCACGAAGATTCGAATGAATTCGAAAGTAGGGAGATTGAACATTATGCGGGCGATGTAAATCGCATAGTTTTGGGTAAACACAAGGGTCTGGAAATCATGGGAACACTTTACGTGCGCGTGTTTATAGGTCCCGAAGACGAAGAAGAAGAATGGAAGCCTTTCCACCTGGTAGTTGTCAAAGATATGAGTGAACTCAGAATTGAAGACCTAGATATCCAAGAATTGGGAATGATAGATTTCAAACTGGGAACGGACTATTTACAAGACATAGATGTTGATAACATTTGCTTTTCGTATATGCCAAAAATAAGATTTGAAAATGAGATTTCCATTAATTTGTTTGATGTCAAAAAAGTCGACCCCATAACCGAAAGAGGTATTTCTAGGTTTTTTTTGTCTTTTCACTCGTCAATTCTTCGTCATTAATTTTTCTTTGTCACATCAGGTTATGGAAGCACTGAAAAGTCGTCGGAAGGTAGCAGCAACAGCGAATCAGAGGAAGAATCGTGTCCAATAAATAACAAGATTGTTAGGATTAAATCCGAAATCGATGATCCTGGCATCGTCAGTACCGAGAATCTTACGAAACCAGACCAAATAACCACGAGATCAAATTCTTTATCACAATCATCAAATGTCACTCTTGCTTTGGTCAAGTCCGAAGAAGAATCTCAGCCTGATTCTCCTCAAGATTTAAACAATCCCTGTGATAGTCTGTTGGAGGCGAATCAAGATGGTTCAGATCAGAGTTCTCGAATAACCAATTCGTTAAATTCATCGGATGACACGAGAGAGCCCATTAAAAATGAGCAACAAACACGATTGGATAGGATTCATTTTGAATCCGAAACTCCGAATAATGCCGATTGTTCTCATTCTGTAATAATCCAGCAGAGCTGGGTCGGATTACCTCTCGCTTTTATCATGAATCATCTATTATCAAATGTTTCTACCTCAAACAACCTTCTAATCTCATCTATTGGTGTTCAACAACCCATGACTGGATCATGCAAACCTCCACAGGTATCAGTTGAAATCCAAACCTTCCCTTCCGAACCCGTTATCAAACCTCAAGTATCACAATCCACTGCGTCAACGCAAACCGTCACTGAGGAGTTCTCACCGAAAACGGAGGCTTCGCCATCACAAGATCACAACCAAGCTGAAGTATCAACTCAAACTCCCAATTCACAATCAACCCAAATTCTCAAAGTCTCACAACATTCACAATCAACTCAGACACTCAATGTTTTACAAATTTCACAGTCAACTCAGACCCCCCAGTTTTCGCAATATTCACAAGAATGTCAAATTTCAGATCCAGAGACAGCATCAGTTAGACTTCAAACTCCTTGTGATATGATTCTTTCTCATGAGGAGATCACCGAGGTTTCGAATTCAAACCAAGGGGAAAATATTGAAGTTGAACAAAAGATGGAGAGAAGAAAACATCAAGTAGAAGCAGTTGAACATGGCAAAAAAAGAAGTTGGACATTTTCTTTATTAAATTTTGTATTGTTTCTCGGTATATTTTCTGGTATAGGGTTGGTGATAATTGAAAAATTGAGAAACGAGGAACTCAGTTATTGTTAAATAGCTTTGTTTGAAATACACCCGAAATTGGTTTTTGGGCGTCTTCACTATAATTTATATTAAGTTATTAACGGAAATAAAAGAAGACATTTGACGGTGAGATGAAGCTGATCTGTTAAGCTGAAATCAAACGAACCTTTACAAACAAAACTTGCAAATAGAATTGCTTGATGATAATTTCTCCGGAAAAACGTGATATTTATTGAACTCTTGTATAGGTAAATCCGTTTTTTGATGATCGAATGATCGAAGCAAATATATATATACTGTATATATATATATATATATAATTTTTTAAATTAATTAAAATATAAATTTCTTTGACCACATCAGATTATAAAGTTTTTATACTGTTTTCAAATTTTAAAAAGCTCTACTAATTTTTTTGTTGTTTAAGATCATCATTCTATAATTGTTTTTTGTTTTTTTTGCAGTTAACCAAAACTATTACATGAGTCTTAATAAAACCTGTGGGTTCTAGTGATTTAATGACCTGGTTAATTTTAAGTCATCTTATTTATAATTTTTTCTTAAAAAAAAAAAAAAAAGTAGGTCAGCATATCGCTTGACCCTGTAAACCTCACGTAAAACGATCGATCAAACGAAAATCGTAAATTATTCAATTTAGCTCGTTCCACACAAAACCAAAAACTATACACAACATTCCTATGTTTTTTTGGAAACAAGTGTAATTAAAATCGAAATCCTTCTTTATCTCATCACAATCATTGTTTCATAAATAATTCAGTCTTACCTATATACATCTGCCATTGTTTCTTGATGATAAACCACAATTTCATTTCTTGTTCTGGTTTGTCCAGATGAAACGTTGCCACATTTCCGTTATCAAATATTATCACTAATCAAAATGTGTGTAAGATATTGTCAGACACAAAATCAATCTGAAATAAGAAAAACAAACAGTAGAGAGTTCACACTTACGCAATACATTTCCTGTGACATTTTTTTCGATATTATCCACATACACCCTGGAAATATTTATTGATTTCACTGCTATTATGTCCTATTGAACAAGAAAGGTTGTTATATCTTCTGATTTATGCGCGTTTTCCTACCGTCAATAAAAACGAAATCCGCTTACCAATTCAGATTGGCTTATGAAATCTAAATATGGTAGCGTGATGACCATCTTTAGTTCCCAATTTTCTCCATTTGCATTCGCCTCATTATTTGTTGTTCTGTCATGATGATTCTCTTCTGTTGGTTTATCAAACCAACCGTTTTTAGCACGCGCTGACGATGACAGTAAAGGAAAACGATGTATATCGGCTGTACCTCTTTTGTAGATAAGAATGTAGTTTTCCTTTTCATCACATAAAGAAATTTTTAGAGAATGTACGGATGTGAAAGGATGTGAAAATCTTTTGATATCCTAAATTCAGTGTCCCTTGGCAAAAAGAGAATCTTGAATTCACCTGAGTAACAAGCAATAATAAATTTCCTTTGGAATTTATCTCCGCTTCGATTATTTGAAACGGCCATTCTTCAAGTACCGGCAAATACTCCCTACGAACCACATAGGCCTCTTTACTTTGAGAATCTTGTTTAGAATCTGTCAAGGTTGTGTCACTGTAATCAAATGTAAATAACACATTATTCAAAGCAATACATATCGTAGTAACATTACGAGCGGTTACTTATAATGTGAATTTATTATTATTATTATTATTAATAGAGATATTAGATAAATTCACGAAATAGATGTATTAAAATTTTGGATGAAAAGGGGCTTACCAACAATAGGTCTAGGAATTGGGACAGGAGAGGTTAAAGCTAAGCCACTCACGAAATCAAATTGTTCATAATCAGCTTTTTTAGTTACTGAAGGTGTGTACTGCTTGATCATTAAAAAGATGGCAACAAATGTAATCTACACCTTGTCGTTTATAAAGTTCAGTTTTAAAGACTGATATGATGGAGTTTTTTTGCGTACCGCAATTAATTTCTTTTGACGCCAATTTGACACTCGTGGTCCACTTGCGTCCTCCGATAACGATGAATTATGTATCACCGTAACCTGAAAGGTCCAGGATTCTTCATTCGCTGTGATCTCTACTTGCATGACCCGTATTACGCCTGGCCTTTGTTAATTAAAGTTTTAGATGGTTTTGATAATAAAAAGAAATGGCTATGCATGTATAGACGGCAACAGATCACTTACACTGCATAAACACGTCTAAAAGTTGCGGTTTTCCTTGCTAAAATTTCTTGTTTCGTAAACCCTAAGCAACCATATGAAATCAATTGAATGCGAATGTACAAAGAATTCATGCTACAATTGTCAATACGAACTTAAGAAGGGTCCAGCCTCGCTGGATTTAATAGTCAATGCATCGTTTTTTTTTTTCGAAATATCAAAAATATTTCGTGGTAATTTAATAATTCGAAATTTTGCATCGTCTGGACTCCTAAGCAATAAGAGATGAATGTTATCAATTTGAGTAAATAACAAGCATATAAAACAACTACTACCGTGAATATAATATCAACGAGTTTTCGACATGAAAAGACATAATTTTCGTGGTTCCCGGAAATGTTATATCTTGATATTTAAACGGAGGCACCAGGTGACACGTGTTGTGCGAATTCTTCTTACAATCCGCTAAACCGTAAAACAATTAATTATCAGATCATTAGTTGAACTTTTGAACTTTTTTTTTTTTACTTGAAAGATAATATAATTCGTACCGGGATTATCGAGATCACCCTCTATGCTCTCCACTTCTCCTAAATTATATAATCTTAGAGTATAGTGAATTTCTTCATCAGCCTGAATCTGATACAATATCGCCAACGCATTGTTTTCATTGTATTCCGAGTCCGATGTTGGATTCAGTGTATTTTTATGGAAATAGCTTGATATATGAGTTATCGGTCCTCTTAGACGATGGATGTATAGAAGCTTCCACTCTATTTTGCGATATTTTTAGTAAACGAAGAATAACCTAACCCGGAAAAGAGACTCGCTCTTTTTTTAATAAAAATCAATAAATAATTTATTTATATTACGCACTATTATTCGGGTTAACCTTATTCTCTGGTAACAGAAGCGGATGCAATGGACGCTTATACTGTTTGATCAATCCTGCAAACCACCAAATGTTAGCTCTCTAAGAAAAAAGATCAAAAAAAGCAGTCTAACGCAGGCATAACTAACGAAATTTCAACGGATCCCGGAAGCCTTGTGATTACATAACATACCAACAACATCATCCACCGGTCCGGCCTCATATTCTTTCCATATTGCCGTTAAATATACCCAACCATCTTGAACATATATAAACACCTCATCAGGACTTAAAAATCCTGGATATCCGAATATCACATCTTGAGCATATGTAATGTTTTTAGGATATGGATAAGGTGCAGAGTGCAAGGAGATTATCCAATAGATGAATGTTATCCCCAATGCCAACATAATTAAAGGACGATATTGTGCCATATTCAAGAAGATGAGATAGCTCGCTGTTTATTATTTTCAATTGATTAATAATCGGTGATAATTAAACGATTCTCTTATTCTGTAAGAATAAAACTTTAGCCGGTAATAAATCACACTACTTTTCTATAATTAGTACATTTTCGATTTTCCCGGAAAATGAATTTCTTTGATGAATCCGATAAACGACGAACAAGATGGAAATTTCAGCAGATCCATGTACTGTACATGTGTACGCAAATCTTGTACACGTAATGATCACATGTCTTTAGAGTCGATGAACGCTACGCCAGTTTCTTTCAATTACACGCAAATACAACATTCCAAAGACGAAATTTACATGTAGTCAAAAAGGTTAACAAGTAATAATGTTTTAAATTAATTTATGACGAGGCAAGCTCTAGAGCATCAAATGGTACGTTACGTTACATTAAATAATTAAGTAGATTCCGTGAGATTTGCAAATGAAAAATGATTGATATAATGATGCGATTATTTAAATGTTAACTTTGGCATCGATATACTGTAAACTTATATACTTAAAATTCGTTGTTTTTTTCTAACGTCATTTGTGATCTAGAACTAGTTTCTGCTATAAAAGTATCACAGATATAATATTTGATATGTGCTAGTCGTGTTATCTTTTTTTTCATTTCATTTCATTTCGCAAATATGTAAGTTTCATATTATTCTTGAACTTGTATAGGTTATAGTCTTTGAAAACACATATATACGTATGTATTCGTAATTAAAATAGATGGCGTATGAGGAGATATCGAACTAATGTTAATGGAAAATTTTTTTATTATACGATTTGTATATTTTATAATACTTGTATAAATTACTATCGTAATTCGATCTATTGTTTATATATTATATTTTATACTGAGTAAGTTTTATTTTTATTTTTTATCTATTAGCCATATATAATTCAAAATTCACTTGCCACTTGCCACTTATTATGGAAAGGTAGCTAAAGACAAATGGGTAATGTCTTTTTTGAAAATAAGTATCAGTTTTGTGGTTCGGGTTTATTAGTTTTATCAAACACGAACTGATATTTAATTCGTTTTTTAAGCAGAAAGCAAAATGCTATAACCAATAAAGTTGTATTCATTGATTTTATATTTAAAAAAATTCTTTTTCATCTATTTTGACTTTATTAAAAACATTTTTTGAATAAAAAATAAAACCTTGTTATATAAAAAATTTAAATTTTATTAAATAATATAAACCTTCTTTGATTGATTATTAAATATCATATACATATATGATATCAATGTCAAAGCTATTTAAAAGAATCTTTTTATTTAAAAAAGTATAAACATATCAATTCCCATATATAATAAAAGTTTAAAATTAAAATTAAAATCAAGATTTATGTATTTCAAAAAATTTTTTACAATAAACTTTTGTATATAACTAATTATTATAAATAAAAATACGATATATTCGATTTTTAATTTTTAAATTTTTTTAATAATATTTTATTAATTTACTTAATTTTATTTTAAGTTAAAAACCTTTTATTTAAATTTTTTTTAAACTAAATTTATTATAGTAGTAATATATTGAAATCTATTGTTATAAATATTGATTTGTTAAAATAAATGTATTTTATAAATATAATAAAATAATAAAATGAATTATTATCTATAATAAAGAAATAAATCTTTTTATTATAAAAGATATAATAATAAAATAATAATATTTAATAAAGAAAATAATATTATAATAATTCTTTTTTATTAAATATAATTAACAAATAATTTATAAACAAATTAATATAAATAAAAAAAATTTTTTGAATTGTTTACTTTTTTACTCTTCTTTTTTTTTTTTTCTATGCTTTTTTTTCTATATTTTTTTTTCTTCTATAAATTTTTTTTACAACTCTTATTTTATTTATTCTTTCTTTATCAAAATTAAAATTTTTTTCTTTTTAAAGTTTTTTCTCTTTAGGTTTTTTTTTTTTCCAAAATATTGATTTTTATTTTATTATTATTCTAATTAATTAATTCTTTTTTTAAAAATTATATTAAGAGATAGTAATTTCCTTTAAGATATAAACTTTAAAAAAAATTTTTTTTATAATGTCTTAAAAAAAAACAAATAATTTATCTTTTCAAAAAATTTATATAGTTATTATTATTAAATTCAATATTGTTTACTTGTTAATAATTAAATTAGATAATTATTATTAGTTGAATTTTCAAAAAATTATATTTTACAATATTTAAAAAAATATAATAATTAATATCAATATAAAAATTTTACATGTTTATTAATAATTAAAAAATTTAATAGAATAATATATAATAATTAAAATTTTTAATTATTCTTATAAACAAAACTGATAATAATAATAAAAGTTTTTTATTTATATTTTAACAATATAAGTTTATATGCAAGATTAGATATTAATATTTTAAGAATTTCTAATACAATTCCATCTATTAAATACTTTTATTATACTTCAAAATAAATATATTAAATTTCTTATATGACTTAAGCATTAATTTATTTTTATTTTTTACTATTTTTTATTTTATATTTAAATAATATAGTTTTAAGTATAAAATATTTTATATAATATAATTATTTTCTTTCTATTTTGGATTTTAAAGAATAAGTTTTTTTTAAAAAATCAATTTTAAATATATTAGATAAAAAATCAATCTTTATTAATAATATCTAGTTGAAAAATTATTATTTAAATATTTAAGTAAGTTGTTCAATTAAAATTTAAAATAAAATAACTTTATCTATATTAAATTCTAATTATAATTTGAAAAAAAATCTATATATTTGACTATAGCATTTTTATATACTTGAGTATTTTATAAATATTTTTAATCTTTTTTAATTATTATTTAAAATTTACAAAGATTTGATATAATTTTCTTTGTATTTAATAAAATTTGAAATAAATAAATAAATTTTTTTTATATTTTGTATTAAACTTTTTTTAATAAAAAAAAACATATACAAAAAAACCTCCCTAAATACACACTCTATAAATGTATTTACTATATTTTCTCTCTCTAAATGCATGATCAAACTTGGTCCCAAGTATATAGAACTCTTAATAAAATTGCTTTCATAAGTACATATCCTTTATAAATGCATATTTTTTAAAAATTTTCCTATAGTTTTGAAAAGTATATATTTAAAAAAGGTTTACTGTATTAGTTTTACAAATTATAAAAATTTGATTAATAACTATTTTAGTAATAAAAAAAAATTTATGTAAATATTAATATTAATTAATAATTTTAGCTTATTACTATTTTAAATAAGTCACAAGTTTAAAATACTTTTTTTTTTTAATTATAAATGGATATTAAATACAGAACTTTTATTAAACAAGTTGTTTATAGTTATTATATTAGCAATCTTTTATATGAAATAAATAATTGTAACCTATTGTAATATTTTATTAGGATATTAACTTAATACTTTGTAAGTATTTCTATATCCTGGTTTATACTTATGTAGAGTTCAACCTTAATTAATATATTAATTCTTATTAAGTTTCTTATTACATTTATACCTTTGGCTTACGTAGTCACAGTACCTTTATAAACTTATTTCTTTATATTTTTTAGTAAATACTTCAAAAGTTGTTTCTATAGTTGATATATATTACTAAATTTGAAGATTAGATAATCAATTAGAATACGATTCTTTAAATCTTTCAATAAATATTCTATAGACTTTTAATTAATATAAGCTGCCAAATCTAAAAATACAAATATCAAGCAGAGCACAACTCCTATAAAGTAACCTAGGTTTATTCTATTCCAATCATATTCATAGGGTGATTATCTTTAAAGTTAACTAATCAGATTAACAGACTTTCTTTTATAATCTCATGAACTATAAAAGAAGAAAACAGCCTAAAGGAAACCAAGAAATACATCAAATATAGCATTGATTATTATAATATCAACCAGACAATCAACACATCATGACACCTTTTCTTGAGAACACAATTTCAATACTTGCTGAATCAATGTATAAAATGGTTTCACATAAGAAACAATATATAATAGATTATAGTGCCAGATACTATATAAAACTATTTAATCGTGATTGCGAATCCACCTCCGGGGTGTTAGTTGGTAGCCAGGTTAGAATTAGAGGTGGTGCTAGGGTTAGAATAGTTAATATAGTTAGTCAGACTCTTCATGTAATAATTGTAACTTCAATGCTAAGTTAATAAAGTTCGCATGTAATGTACTTTGAAAAAAAAAAAAAACTATTTAATCACCTTCACCTGAAATTAAATTAGTATCTTGTGATCTGACCTGTGGAATATTAATCATTGCACTATAGATCCACAGATCATAATTTTATATTTTTTTATAATAAAGACTATATAATTTTTTTAATAATATTATTACCTAGAAACTCCAATATCTTTTTATTTGTTTTTTTTTTTTAAAAAATAAATATCTAGTATTTTTACAAATAAATATAAAAAATATATATTTATAAAATTAAAGGCAAAAATATTTTACTTAAAAAAAAGACATAAAAATAATATACTTCTTTTTTTCTTTAAAAATTCAAGACTCTAAAAAAAATAATTATAGATTTTTAAAATTCTTATTTATCTTTTTTAAGTCTTCTACTTATTTTCTTAAATGTATAAACTTTTTTTTTATTTTTCTAAAAAATTTTGTTGATCTCTGTTTAATTTTAAATTTTTGATTATATTAGAATCCTTAAATAATAATTGGTTCAAAATTTAAATTAATTAATCTATAGGTAGCAAAAAATATAAACAATATATATAAATTCCATAAGACCTGTGGGTCCATAGTGTAGTGGTTAACACTCCACAGGTCAAATCACAAGATACCAGTTCAACCTCATGTGAGAGCAGTTGAATAGAATTAATATGGTATCTGGCACCATAATCTGTATAAGCGCTATTTCTCATGAGAAGCTGTATCACACGCTGATCCAGCGGGCGTTGAGATTGTGATTTCCAGAAA